TTTAGGCCTTACGTAGGTTAGGGGTCCTCTACCCCCACCCTATCAGCACCTACCCCTCTCCCCTGTCAACTCCGCTCCACCCACACACAGGGCTTGCTGCTGTCCCTCCAGCCCGCCAGACATCAGCCAGGCACCGGCCTACCAGGCACCGGCCTACCAGACGCCAGCCTGCCTTGGACTCTGTTTCTTTCCCAGGTACCTGCATAACTCAGGAAGGCCTTCCCTAACCCCCTATTTAGAAAAAAACCTCTTGCCACTGCCTCATCTTCCACTGGAGGCATTTCTCATTCCTCTTTTTTTCTTTTTTTAATATTTATTTATTTATTTGGTTGCACTGGGTCTTAGTTGCGGTAGGCAGGCTCCTTACTTGCGGCTCGCCAGCTCCTTAGTTGTGGCCCGTGGGCTCCTTAGCTGTGGCATGCGAACTCTTAGTCACGGCACGCATGTGAGATCTAGTTCCCTGACCAGGGATCGAACCCCAGCCCCCTGCTTTGGGAGCGCAGAGCCTTAACCACTGTGCCACCAGGGAAGTCCCTCCTCACTTCTCTTAACCATGTAATTTCCTCCCTAGCACTCATCACCCGACATACGTACGTTTTACTTATTAATCGGTCAGTCCTTCCTTGCCAACGTAAAATCTCCACAGGACTGACGTACGTTTGTCTTGTGCTGTCCACTGCACTATGCCCCAGTACCTGCAACAGTGCTGGGCCTACACAAGGCGCTTCTATGAATGAATGAACAAATGAATCCATCCACTCCCAAGTCTCCAGGGCCTGTCCCTGTGCTGACAACTCCTACAGCCCTATCTCCAGCTCCATGTCCAATCGCTAGCTGTCCCCTGGATGTCCCAAAGTCGTAGCAAACCCGGACATCCCAACCAATGTGTCACCTTCTCAAGCTGCCCCTTGTCGAGGTTTCCCACTTTGGTGACAGGTGCAATATCCCCTTTGGTCTCCCAGGGCGGAGAATCCTGTGCCTTGTCTGGCTCCCTCGCTCCCCATAACCAGTCTCTTCTTGTTCCCAGTGCAACCGGGGTGCAGACCCAAATGGGATATTCCTGATCATCTCCTGACCAGAGAGCCCAGCAGACTCAGTGCCCAGTAATTAACACATGAATCCCTCCCTTTACACAAACACCTGCCTGCTGACAGGGCACTTTTGCAAACATTACATCACCGGATTTTCACAGCAACTCTGGGCTCAGATCACATTATTCCCAATGGGCAGATGAGAAAACAGGTTCAGAGAAAAGAAATCATTTGCCTGAGGTCACAGGGTGAGTAAGAGGGACATGTGGGGTCTTAAATCCATGTCCCAAGGCTAACTAAAAAAAACATTGGCTCTAGGCAAGTTGTATAACCTCTCTGGGCCTAGTTTCTTCCTTGTAAAAGGGGATAATAAAGGACTCGAGGTCATGGGGTTTTTATGAGGATTCAATGAATTAACCCACGTGAGGTGTTTAGAATGGTGACTGGAAGTTGTAATTTTTTTTCCTTTTAGTTCCCTGACCAGGGATTGAACCCGGGCCCTCGGAGCATGGAGTCCTAACCACTGGACCACCAGGGAATTCCCAGGCAGCTATAACGTTGAATAAATGTTAGCTCTCATTATTCTTACTATGTTAGGGACCTAGGAGATATTTAAATTCCTAAAATCATTCAGAAAATCTTGTGGGTCTGTGTATTTTTCCTGGGAAGAGAATTCTCAGATTCTCCCTAATTCTCAAAAGGTTCTGTGAACCAAAACTTTTTCAGAACCACTGGGCAAGAGAGAGACAATAATATGTTTTAACACAATCAGGTAAGCCTTGCCCCCAACATCCCTCCCCAAACACCCCCTACATTCAGAAGGGAGGAATGTGGCCAAAATCAAGAAAGCCAAGGTATGAACACAGAGCAGCAGGACAAAGTGGCTAGGAACACCCACAGCAGATTCAGGTCTTGGCACCGCCATTTATTAGTGGTGATAACAGCCCCTACATTATCCAACTCCATGAAGAGTCGGGTCACACAGGTAACACACCCAGGCCGGCGGCACCAGGCAAAGAGCAGATGCTTGGCAACACACCTAGCTCCCTTCTCCCACCAGCTTCTTATGCCGGAGAGGAACAGCCTGTTTGGAATTCTGTAGCCATCTTGGGTCAAACTACCCTTTCGTCTTTGCCTCCCTCCAACTTCACAGAGAACGTACCAAAGCGCTCAGCATTCCGGACACAGTAGCTTAGACTGGCCACTTCACTTCGCCCTGCCCTATGCCCCAGTTGCCTCATCTTTAAAATGAGGTTGGCTGTGGACTTCCCTGGTGGTCCAGTGGTTAAGACTCCACACTCTCAACGCAGACAGCCCGGGTTGGATCCCCGGTCAGGGAACTAGATCCCGCATGCCACGACTAAGACCAGCGCAGCCAAATAAATAAATATTTTTTAAAATAAAAAAAATAAAATGAGGTTGATTGGCTTAGATGATATGAGACAACTTCCAGCCCTGAGCCCAGAGACTTTAGAAGGCAGGATACATGGCAATGATTCACTCTGTTCCAGCTGAGAAAACTGAGGCCCCGACAGTAGCAGCAACCTAACTGGGCCACACACTGATTCACCCCTGGCCTAGTGCCCGGATCACCTTTCTCCCCTGCTAGGGGGCACAGGGGTCACACTGCTCATTTTCCAGGTGAGGAAGCCGAGGCCCATAGGGAAAGTGCCTCAACTCACTGCCAGTTAACTCCAGACTCCTATTAAGGAGATGGGGGGAGGGCAGAATCACCTGGAGCACCACAGAGATGGTCTTCTCGCCCGCCTTGGCCGCGCGCCACTTTCGGTAAGTGTCTGCCTTGAGAAGGTTTTCTGCACAGTAGGTCTGGAGAGAAGAGTGGGAAAGGGCAAGTTAGGGTACAGAGATGAGAGCTAGGTCCCCAGCTCTCAGATTATTCCATTGAGATCCCCCAGATTTAAGTTTCCCTATTAATCCCCACACACTCTGCCTTGAGTCCCCTACAGCATTGTCCCCTGGAAATTCTCCCCTGGGCCTTCCAAGGAAGCTCCCCTATCCCTCCTTTTCTCTCTGAAAGTTCCTCTAGTCCACATCTCTCTAGAATTCCCTGATGGCCTCTGAGAAATTCTCCCAGGACCCTCCTTAGAATTCCATAAAGTCCCTTTTTTGAAAGGAAAATCCAAATGAAGTCGGTATTGCTAAAAGGGCTCTCTAAAATGGAGCTGGGTGGCCACCGAGGAATTGGGACCACGCAGGTCTCAGCCTGGATGGAATGTGACCTTTTGACCACTTACTGCATTCAACACAGGCATCCAAGGCATCTACCAGAAACTCGATACTTATCGGACACTTACCGTAAAGTAACTCATGACACCCTATTCTTTAAAGCCAAATATTTCTTGTATCAGAGGCAATTACAATTCTCTCTAGACAACTTTAACCACCTGGTGACCTTTGTCCTCATAAGCCCCTGACTCTCCCAACACACTTTCGGTTTTACGGAAATCTGTGTCTCTCTAATATCAGTTCCTAAAACCCCAAATAAAGTTCTTTTTTCTTCGCAGCCCGCAAACTGATTATTGTTCAACCCCCTTTGGGCTCCAAAAGTTCTCCTAGAGCCCCCTCAAGAATTCCTTTACTTCTTCCAACCTCCTCCACGCCAGTCCCTCACCGAGTCCTGGCTACTGCAGGATACCACATGGCGGAGGCGGATCTCCGGCATGTCAACGTCGTGGGCTTCGCCTGACCAAGAAGATGCTGGAGGGTCTGAGTTTAGGGTGCAGACAGCTGGGGCGCCCTGCGCGGGCTTAACTGCGCAAGCGCACGAGGCTCGGGCCTTTCAAACAGCGGCGCGCCGGAGGTCGCGTCAACACTGCGCAAGCCCAGTGCGTCTCTCCCGAGAGAGGCGAGAGGGGCTGAGTTGCCTAGTAACGAGCTTCTCCCGCCTCCCTCTGGCCAAACCGCTCTCTAGCTCCCCCTTCCGGTGACTTTCACACTAGGTCTTCCGGGCGCCTAGCAACCGGCGTGGCCTCCAGGACTGGTCCCCAGAAGAAATTCGCCATCCTCACCACCCCAACTTCAGTTGGAAAGCAAGAGGCCAGCAAATCTGAGTGGATTTTTGCAGGGAGCCTGGAGCCTACCGCAACAGGATCTCCTCCACCGGTTGCTGGCTACCCTCCCCATGCCCGCCACCAACACACACACACACACACACACACACACACACACACACACGCACACACAATCTCTGATCTCTCAAGCTTATGCCTGCGGCAGAGAGAGTGGGTAAAGAACCTAAATAAAACACAGTGCATGTGCCCAAACACACATCCAGCCTTGAGTGCTTCCAACCATGCCTCAGTTTTCCAATGTGACCTATGGGCATCTGTCTCGTACCACGCCCACCCCTGCCCGGTGACAAGCACCCCTCTGTTCCGTCCCCGAGAGACCCAGAAGGGCATCTTGGGGTGGGGTCGGAGCTAGAGACGACCCAAACACGGAAAAGTGAGTATGAACCAAGCGTGCCCCTACAGAACATGCTGACACTCCCAGGTAGGGCCCCACCCACGCTGGGCACCTCCTTGGGAAGAGAAAGAAGGGTATCTCAGTCCTAGCAGCCGCCCTACCCTGCAGGGAATCAAATGAGCCGATTCTGAGATTCTGATCTTGGGCCTCAGGTCAGAAAAAAAAGAAAAGCGGGGATGGGGGGGTGGGGGGGTGGGGTTGGGAATGTGAGAAAATAGGGAAGTGATCTTCTGGGTCTTGACGGAAGAGAAGGCTGGAAGTCCACCTGGGGTCCCCGTGGAGGAGGGGGCTGGGCACAAGATGCCCATGTCGCATTCGGATTCTGGTTCTGCCTCCCCACCCCAGAGCTACAGAGACCTGCCCCCAGATCTTACGTCACTTCTTTCTCACCCTAGGGGTAGGGTGGGTCCAGACCCACCCCTCCTCAGCTTCCTATAAGAAGAGCTGGGGACCTGGGACTGCAGGTTCACTCACTCATCCATCATGAGGCTTTCCACGAAACCCCAGAGCTTCCTGCTGGCTTCCCTGCTGCTCTGCACCCTCCTGGGTCTGGGTAAGTGACTAGGGGCCTGGAATCCTGGGACCTTCGGAAAGAGGACTGTATGAGAGGGGCATTCAGCAAGGTCCTTCAGCGGGGAGGGGGAAAGAGGAGATGTCCTGGGAATTCAGATTCATGGCAAAGGCAGAGGGTAAAGGACAGAAAGACTGGGGCCCCAAGGGAAGAATAGCTCAGAAACTTGTGTGTGTGAATCCCTGAGAAAGAAGGGGATTTGATGAGCTTTGAATCCCCTGTCCCCCAGGCAAGGTCTCAAAATAAGCCATCTGGGGACTTCCCTGGCGGTCCAGTTGTTAAGACTCTGCGCTTCCACTGCAGGGGGTGGGGGTTCGACTCCTGGTTGGGGAACTAAGATTCCGCATGCCATGCAGTTCGGCCAAAAAAAAAAAAAAAAGACGTCTGAATTCTAGAAAATCAGAGTATGATTAGAAAGGGAAATTTTTTTAAAAAAAATGATGGGGCGGGGGAGAGATTTTCTTTCTCCCAGAACTCTAGGGAGTTCAGACCCCTGGTGTCCTCCCCTAGATGCAGGAATTCAGGCAAGCCCCACCTTCCCCAGGATGCAGTTGCCCAGTGTCTGGGCCCCCAGTTGCCTCCTCTTTCAGTACCAAGGGGTCCATGCGCTTGCCCTCCTGGTCCGTGCTCTCCCTTCTTGACCTGGGGTGCAGATCCCAGCCTCAGGTACCCCTGCCTGGGCTCCTACTGTCTACAAGACCTACGCGTGGTACCTACAAGGAAGAGGATCTCACTTCCGAGAACCAGCTCGACCTGAAGCTTCACAAAAGTCCATGGAAACCTTCACCAGGACCCCTCCCTGTCCCCAAACTTTCTCAGAGGACCCTAGCATCCAAAGTCCCCAGCCTTGTAATTAGGTAAACTTGCTCCCTGGTGGAGTCGCTTCCCACCCCTGAAAGCAGCTTTGCTGGAGCACCACCGCGTCTCTGCGGGAGCTTCGGACAGTTCCCTGGACAGGCGCCAATGCCCCGCCCAAGAACAATCAGGGAGATACCTTTCCCTCCTCCCTCAGACCGCCCCCCCATCCCCCTCTGGACTCCGTCCGAAGTCTTGGTCCGCAGACCACACCACCCTTGACTAGAGCCCTGCTCTCTACACTGCAGGGTACCCACTGAGCTGTGAGGTGTGTACAGGCTCCGGACCCACGTGCAGTGGAAATGTGCAAACTTGTGACCCCGACCAGGACTCCTGCGTGGTCATCGTGGCTCACACCAACAGGAGTAAGAGCTCAGGGCGTGGCGTCAGATCCTGGGGAGGGGGCCGTGCTTTCGGGGTAGCAGATACCAGCACGCGCGGGGAGGAACCTTCCAGTGGTGAGCAGGCAGGAAAGAGGGAAAGGCAATCTCAAGGTGGATGGAGGGAAGAGAATCCGATGGAACGACAGAAACCACTGTTGTCAGGGATTTCTGAAAATTAGACTCCAAAGAGTTGATGGGGTGGGGGTGGGGGGGCAGATATAGAGACTTTCTTAGGCAGGAGGGGATTAGGGAAGGAAAGGACAAGGGGGAAGAGAGAAATCGCGAGAGGGGGAAAATCTAATATGCAAGAGGTGGAGGGGGGCGTGTAGAGGAGAAGGAAGGGGCTGGGGTGGGTTGGAAGGAACGTGACCAGGTTGACCATTTGGGGTGGGAGGGATCCCCTAGGGATGCGGGTTGGAAGAGACCATTTCTGACAAGAAGAGGAGAGATGATATTGGGGTAGAGGGAGAGATATAAAAGAACAGACAGGAGAGGGAAGATATTCCTGAAGCATGGAGCAAATTATCACAAAGAAGTGGAGCTGCGGCAATGGGAGACATATGAGTAAAATGGGAGAGGAGAGGCAAGACTTAAATGGAAGGGACTCTCCCAGGCCTGAGGGAGGATGGGGGAGAAGGGGAGCAAAGGAAGAAACCACGGGGGGTGGGGTGTTCATTCAAAGCTGAAAGAGACCCAGAAACCCTTAGTTAAAGGAACATGGTGGGGCATGGCGTGAGACTGGAGAAGGAAGGATGTGACGGGAGGTAAGGCCAACGTTGAGTGTAGGAAGAAACCATTCCGACCGGAGCGGGTGTGTAAGGTAAGTGGGATAGAAGATTGCACGCTGCCCTACTCACCTAGCAAGAGTGGGCAGGTGGGGGAAGGACCTGAAAGTCTTGCAGAGGCCACCCAGGAGTATATGGGAGGGAGATGGGACCCTGGGACCGCAGGAGGAAGTTGGGGAAAAAAAACACCTTTCTGTGGGGTAAAGAGGGGAAACCCTAGGGTTGGAAGAGACCACCGTACTGTGGGGAGGGGGAGGGGGAAGGCTGTGGAGGCTGGACGAGACCACTTCAGGCAAGACCTGAGAGTACCCAAGGAGGGCAGCAAGAGACCATCGGTGGGAGGTCTGGGGAGTGACCCTGGGGAAATCTGGAAGAGACCACGTTAGACAGAGAAGGATATGGGTGTTACAGGGGGCGGGGGGCGGGGGGCGAGGGTGGCATTCCAGTATTTGGTGGAAGGGATTCCAAGGGTCAGGGGAGGGCGAAAGGCTGGAAGAGACCATTTCACACCGCCATGGAGATAGCCACAGGCGGCCTGAAAAAGACCACTACAGGTGTGACCCTTAGAGGATGGCAGTGGGGTGGCGTGGGGCGGAAGGGACCACTCAGGCAGGCACCAGGGCTTGCCGATGGGAACTGCAAGAGACCACCAAAGCCTGGAGGGGGTGGGGTGGAGCGGACCTAATAAACAGTCCAGACCATGCCCCAGGCAGATAAGGGGGTATGACTCTGGGGGGCTGGAAGAGAACTCCCTAGACAGCAGCGGGCTGGGGCAGCTGTAAGGTTGGGAGAGACCTGGAAGCCAGGGTCCAGGCCAGGGCCCCTGAGCCCTCCCCTCCCTCGCCATCCTGCAGAGGGCCACCAGTCGCTGAACACCTATAAGGGGTGCATGAAATCCAGCGCCTGCAGCTCAGGATCCGTCTCCATCACCATGGACCCTGAGAACTACATGGTGTCCAACACACGCTGCTGCCAGAGCGACGTCTGCAACCACGATCCCCTGCCCGGTAAGGGCCAGCTCAGCCCCACAACTGGAGTCCCTTCCTGCCCCGCCTGAGAGCCTGCTGTGAGCACCCGCCACTGACCTGCGCTGTAACCTTTGGCAAGCATCCTCCTTGCTCTGAGCCTCAGGTCCTCGCCTGTAAAATGCAGTGTCCATTAGCAACCGGCGTCCCCAGGGTTGCTGTGAGGTTGGGAAAGGGTTTAACGTCCCTTACACCTTACACTCCACCCTCCTCCCCAGCTCCTGAGAACAATCGTACGGAGAATGGCCTCCAGTGCCCTACCTGCATCACCCACTTCAAGGAAACATGCTCTTCAACTAAGAAAGTACTCTGTGTTGGCCAGGAAAGCCACTGTATCACCTGTGCTGGCAAAGTGCAGACTGGTGAGGGGCACCTAGATTTCTGGGGGAGGGGACAGGGAGGCTCCCAGAACTGGAGGCTCATACTTCCAGATTCTAGGGGAGAGAGTGGGTCCAGAGAACTGGGTGAGGAGGTGGCAGGGGCATTACCCCGGGTCATGAGGAGGGAGGGGTTGGAAGTCCTGACTCCAGGCTGAAATCCCTCCCCCAACAGGTGTCATATTTGCTACTCGGGGCTGCGCTACAGAGAATGCCTGCCACACCAAGCCTGGGACCCTGGTGCCCGCGGCCTCTCGTATATACACCATCACCCAGGCCAACTGTCTTCCAGGCCCCCAGCCTCCTGGCAAGGCTAAGTGAAGAACCGAGGCGTATGCCACGTTTGGTCTTGACTTGTTCCCAGCTACAGCTTCCCATGTGCCAATATATTATTAAACAACTTAACAGAACAAGCCTGAGTCCTTGTGACGTGATGCATTTCAGGGAGGTGGGATGCAAAAAGCAGGGGTCTCAACCTTTGGGAACCCCTTCTTTGGAAGGAAGAGAGGGAAGACCCTACCTTTTGTTAAGGGATTACTCCCTGCTGGGTCCCCACGCTAAGTGTTTTCCTGCGGTACCTCATTGCATAGTCACAACAACTCTGTGAAGTTGAAAGAATTGTCCCCATTTTACAGAGGAAAAAACTGAGGCACAGGTTGCGGTGTCACTTGGCTTGGGTCAAACAGCTAGGGAAGATCAGACTCCAGAGTCCATGATCACCTCTCTGGTTAACCTCTCCCTCTTTTGCCTCCGTTTTCACGTGTGTAAACTGTGGCTATTAATAGCCATAACCTCAAAGGGCTGTCTTAAGAGTCAAATGAAAGAAAACGGAAAAAGCACTTAGTGCAGTGCCCAGCACCTTTAAGACAATGTTGGTTCTGGAGACAATGTGTCTGGCCAAATAGTTATCGTCCTAATAGCTGCCACTTACTGAGCGGCCATTAGTTGGCAGGTGCTGGACCCTGGCATCAGTCAGGACAGAATCGATTATGCTACAGTAACAAACAAGTCCCTAATCTCCGTGGTTTAAAGCAACAAAGTTGTATCAGTCGATTCATGCTGTAGTAATGCTTGTGTAACAAACCACCCCCAAGCCGAGATTGTAACAACAATCATTCTTCTAAGGGTTTGTAGGTGGCTGGAGGAGCTCTCCTTCTGGCTGTGCTTTGATGGGTTTGGGTCCCGTTTGGGAGGGGATTCAAGTTCTCCTCCATGACATTTCACAGTCTTCTGGGATCAGCGGCTCCCTGGCTGATGTCTTTCTCATGGCAGATCACGGGGTCCTCGGCTGAGGTCGGGGGTGCTGACGTTCCATGGAGTAAAGTAAATCATATGGTCAAAGCCCACAGCAGTGGAGCAGGGACGTATACTCCCCCTCCAGTGGGAGGGAGAGGAGTGGTATTTGCTGAAGAAGTACCCATTCACAAAAGGTTGATTTAAGGGACCTCCCTGGTGGTCCAGTGGTTAAGACTTTGCCTTCCAGTGCAGGGGGTGCAGGTTCGATCCCTGGTCGGGGAACTAAGATCCCACACGCCTCGCAGCCAAAAAACCAAAACATAAAACAGAAGCAATATTGTAACAAATTCAATGAAGACTTTAAAAATGGTCCACATTCCAAAAATCTTTAAAAAAAAAAAAAAAAAGGTTGATTTATCCTTGACCTTCCATGTCTAGCACCGTCCACAGGGCGTTCTGCTCATCATAATCGTGGAGCAGTCACCAACTTAATGCCGATTTCTGCACACAGGAGAGAGCCCAGGAAGGTTTCACGTGGATGATTAAATGCTGCCCACCCAGAAGTGACCTGACACAATTCACTGGGTGGAGCTGGTCACAGGACTCTACCAAACCCCACCGGGAGAGGAGGAGGAAGCACAGTCTGGGCCCCAAATGCCCCACCTGAGCCCCCGCCTGGCCAGACACATTTCATAACCAGCACGAATGGCCACCATGACCTTTGGGGCAGGGTCTCATTTTGTCTTCACAACTACTCCACGTGATAGGCGCTAGTATTCTCATCCCTGTTTTCAGAAGAATCTGAGGCTCAGAGAAGGAATGTCACATTGGTGGTCGTAGCAGCTAAAAAGTGGCAGAGCTTAAGAGTTTAGTCATTGGGTCACATTGAGGGGAGAAAGAGACCACATCACAGAGAGAGCGGACAAGCCTGTATCAGTTATCCTTTGCTACGTAACAAGCCCCTCCAAACCTCAGATGCTTAGAATAATCGGTTGGCAATGTGGTCTGGGATCAGCTGGGTGATGGTTCTTCTGGTGTCTGCTGGGTTCAGCTGCTGGTCAGCTAGGCAGCTCTCTTCCAGAGGGTTGACACTGATTGGGGTGTCAGGGCTGACTGGGCCACATGTCTCTTATCACCAGCAGGTTAGCCTGGACTTCTTTTTTTTTTTTTTTTTTTTGGCCACACTGTGGGGTTTGCGTGATCTTAGTTCCCCAGCCGGGAATGGAACCCGTGCCCCAGAAATGAAAGCGCCGAGTCCTAACCACTGCACAACCAGGGAATTCCCTAGCCTGGACTTCTTGATGTGGTGGCAGTGACAGGGGTCCCCCGGGTAGCAAGAGAGGAAGTCCCAATGCATGAGCACTTTTCAAGCCTCTGCCCATCATCTTTGCTGTTGTCTCAGTAGCCAAGCAGATCCCATGACCAGGTCTAGAGTCAGGATGAGAAGGGAAAAACCAAGGGCAGGGCTGCAGAGAAGCTGAACAGACTGGGGGCATGCATGGGCCAAGCTGGTTCCGGAGCTAAGATGTTTACCATCACAGCCCCCAAGGCGTAAACAATTAATAGTCCACTCCAGCCCCTCCAGGGTGGCAAGACTCAAAGTCTCTCAATTCCAGCCCAATCGATTCTACGCTGCACAGACTCCCACTGTCCCTCCTCTCCGGGGACCCAGGAGTCTAGGTTTCCAGCTCCAGTCAAAATCCCAAGCATCTTTTTTCCCCTTTAAACCCCGAAAGAACAGACACACAATGGAATTTCTACTTTTTTATTCACTCCTCCAAAAAGCACCACAGGCCAACCCACCCTTGATTCACCCGCCTTCATGGTTTCCTACCTCAGTGGATACACGTCTCTCCATCATTATGCAGACAAGTATGAAACTCAGCTAAGGTAATGAGGCTTTTTGTGCCTCTTCTGCTTCTGGCGATGGCAACGCCAAGATTCACCATACTTTTCCTTGAATTTCTGCCTTCAAGGGCCTTCCAGCCTGCAGGTGCCTTGTAGACACACCCTGATGGCAGTCAGCAATCCATCCAAAAGGGAGCCTTAGTCTTTTCTGCTTGGATGCTCCCAGAGACAGATGCCTCACTAGCAACTTGCTGCCTCTACAGAGCCTAAAATTCAATCCCTTTAAAAGTCATGATTTAAAAGGCAACCACTCTAAAAGATAGTCGTGACACCCAAGGGCGCCAATATACAACTACATAAACACAATCAGCACACTCCACAACGGACAGCAACACGCAAAAACAAAACTGGGTCTTGCTTTCTCAGATTTGATCTCAGGCATGATTCCCATTGGCATGAGGGAAGAGGGAATTTGGAACAGAGGCACGTAGAGAGCAGAGATGTCAGACGGGACCAAGTTAGAGATGGTGGCAAAGCAGCACGAAGAGAGGAGGGCACTCCGAGCAAAGGCATGGGGGTGAGGCGACCGTTCGGGCTCCCAGTGTGCCGGCTTCCAGGAGGGGCTGCAAGTTCGTTGCTGTGCACGAGAGAGAATGCATGCACATACGTGCATGCACTGAATTCTCACCATAACCCTGTGAGGTAGATGCCATTTGCTGAGTGACTTGCCCAAGGTCACCCCCATGGTCAGTCAAAGGGCTGTCTGACCCTAGAGCAGTGTGCACAGAGTTCTCTTTGATAATGGGAAGTGTTCTAGGGCAGTGCTACTCACCACGTGTGCCTGGTGCAACAGGGAAACTGCAGTTTACATTTTAGTTACTTCTGATTGATTAAAAAATTGCTACTCAGTTATTGGAAAACTATCCAATATAATTAGGACAACTTGGGTATATGAATCGACTTCTCCAAATACGAGTTTTCTGAAATCTAAATTGAGGTCAGATATTTCTGATGAAAATCTATCATCTGAATTGAGATGTGCTGTGAGAAATACACAGCAGATTTCAAAGACTTAGCATCAAAAGAATGTGAAATATCTCATTAGTAGTTTCCTGTACTGAGTACATGCTGAAATGATAATATTTTGGATATACTGAGGTACAACATACTACAATTAGTTTCACCTGTTTCCTTTTCCTTTTTTAACGTGGCTACTAGAAAATGTGAAACTACCCGTGTGGCTCACATCCTGTTTCTATTGGACAGCGCTGCTCTGCGCGTCTCCTGCTTCTGCACGTGGCAGGCAGGCTTAATGCAGATGCTTGAACGCTGGACTTGAGGAGGGGACAGTGTTGTACTGGGTATTACAGATGTGGATGAGGGACATTCTCCTAAGGCCAGAAGAGCTTTGAGGACGATGCTTGGAGCCATTCAGTATAGAGCCAAATGCTTTTCCCCATCTTGGCCATCTCAACTTTGATGGGACAGATGGTGCCGGTGGTAGGAGTTCAAGGTAGACATGGTGGAACTGCCCCTCGGATTGGTCACCCTTGCCTTCAGCTGTCCAAGGAAACAGGATCTCGGAAGTGTTTATTGTTCCTGTCCAGCCCTTTCATTTCACAGGTGGGAAAAGGCAAAAAAAAGGCACTGGCCCAAGTCACCTGGAGTGACAGTGGCAAAGCTGTGTTTGCTTCCCAGGTCCCCCGACCTCAGACAGGAGCTCCCTCTCCCATGAGATACTTGTTTCTCCCCCATCTCACACCTTTTCCCTGTCTTGTGGCAAGAGGCTGATGACCTAAATTCCAGCCCTAATTCTGCCACTGATGAATGAATTAAATATTTACTAAGCACCTTCTGTATGTCAAGCACTATTCTACGTGTTGGGGGTACAGCAGAGAACAGGACAGGTATGGGGATAATAGCCAATAAATAGGTAAATAAATAAATAAGGTAATTTTCTACAGTAATAACTGCTACAAGGAAAAATAACCGGCCAAGACAAATAATAGGGGTGGGGGTGTGAGCTACTTCAGTTACAGAGGTCAGGGAAGGCTTCTCTGAGGGGACACTTGAGCTGAGACTTGATTGACAAGAAGGAGCCAGTCGTGGGAAGATCTGGGAGCAGAGCATTCTAGGCAGAAATAACAGAAAGTGCAAAGGTCCTGAGGCAGGATCCCAGGTGGCCCACTCAAGCATCAGAAGGAAGATCAGGTTGACTGGGGGGACGGGAAGGGGCA